AGTTTATTACCTTGGATTGTGACACAAAGTTCCATAGTCACTTCTGGAGGACTTTATGGCGGTGGCAAGGGTCAAAATTTCGATACGATACACCCCATATTGGGCGTATTGTATCGTATTGTTGGGTCCCGATACACATGTTTACAGGTGTTTCGGGAACCCCCTCTTTTTAATAAAAAACGTACTTAAGAATGTCCCTAAAAACCATTTTTTGAAAAAAAAAACTAAAAAAAACAAATGTGCATGGTTTTTAGTACTGATATGCCTTTGCTGATACATAGGGGCGTATCAATACTTTAAACCATGGGCGGTGGTTTGACTCTAAGCTACAATTTAGCATCACTTGTCATCCTCAAACCGATGGACAAACAAAGGTGGTAAATAGGATTTTCGGTAATATGATACAAAATCTATCTAGTGGGAAGCCTAAACAATGAGATTTAGCTCTTGTACAAGTAGAACTTGCCTATAGTAACATGGTGAACAGATCCAGTAGCAAATCTCCATTTGAGATTGTTTGGGAGCACTCCTAGACATACTTTAGACTTGGTGCCCATGGTTTTCAAGACGCCGAGGCGAGGCTAGGCGACAGGGGGCTCCTTGTTGCCAAGTCGCCTAAGTGGGCGCCTAGGCGATGGATTTTTTTAAGTAAAAATCACATATCCTAGGGTAGTTCCCCAGGTTCCATAACCAACTTTCTTTAATAACTATCCATAATTTTCATAAGAAAATTATAAACTTCATTTTTAAGTATAGAAAATCAAAATATTTATGAGAAGAAAAAGAAGAAATGAAAGAAAATTCAAAAAATATAGGGGCGGAACCCCTATTTTTGTTATAGGAAAAGAAGAAGAAATGTGTTGATTAGACAAAATTTTAAGTTCTTCCCCTACTTATTGGTTCAGATTATGAAGTCATTAAGGGTTCAATACAATAGTTAGCAATGTTTGTGTTGATTAAACCCTAACAAATAAGAAAATAATAAAAAGAAATTAGTTTATAAACACAAAAAATGAATAACTTTCTTTAATAATGTCTATTTTATAGTTATAATATCAAAAAATAACAATATAAAAGTATTTTATTACACAGTATGCAAAGCTGCTAGGCCACTAGGTGAGGTGAGCCTCCAAGGGCGCCTTGACAACTATGTTGGTGCCACTTCCTGAATTGCTAGGATATAGTGTTGCAACAGAGCACTTTGCTGACAAGATCATATCTATTCATGAGAGAGCAAGAAATACCTAGAAGATGCCAATGCCAAGTATAAGACAATAGCTGATCAGCATAGGTGGCCAAAATTTTTTCAAGAAGGGGATTAAGTAATGGTGTTTCCGAGGAAGGGTCATTTCCCTACAAAGCAATACAACAAGTTGTAGCCAAAGAAGATTGGACCCTACAAGATCGTGAAAAAGATTAATAACAATGCCTATTTTGTAGACCTTCCTACATCCATGCAGTGATTTAAAAGGCACGCCTAGGCGCACAGGCGAGGCGCATTTTAGGGTATGTGCCTTGCCTAGGTCCTAGGCACATCCCTTTCAAAAGGTGCACGCCTGATGCGCCTTGCGCCTCAGCCCAGGTGTGCGCCTTTTGAAAATTTTGCGCTTTTTTGCTTTTTTTTTTAACATAACGGCTTGGCCGAGGGCTCCGCCCTCGGACCCTCGTGCCATGCCCCTCGAGGCAAGCCCAAACAAGTCCATGTTAGGTCTTAAACTCTTAGTTTTCACACAAATTGGGGACCCCCAATTTGGTAATGTTGTTCATTCATTCATCCTAATAAAATGTCTTAAAAGCAACTAAAACTATAAAATCATTATTTTTTGTGTGAAAACTAAGAATTTTAGACCTAATGTGGACTTGTTTGGGCTTGCCTTGAGGGGCGTGGCACAAAGGCGGCTTGTAGAATCAGGAATGTAATATATTTTACATTACATTAGCTATGTGAAGTAATGCAATTGAGTGAAAAAAAGAGATTAGAGGTTTTACATGCTTGAAAATGTTTTATATGTTTGATTTTATTTTTAAATTCTCATTYSAMTATGCTTTACATCTTATGTTTATGTATTTTAATTTTAGATAATAGGTTTTTTAAAACATTATTTTAAAATTTAAGTTAATATTTTTTATTAATATTATGTTTAATATTTTTTTTTGATTTTTTTAATTTTTGGTATTTTATTGAATTTTTTGACTTTTTTTTAATTTTTAGCATTTTTGTTGTATTTTTGCGCCTACCTTCAAAAAGGTGTGTGCCTCGCCTTGCACCTTGCACCTCAGACGCAATTTGACCCCTGTGCCTTTTTTGCGCCTTGCGCTTTTAAAACACTGCATCCATGAATATACCTAGAACTTTCAATGTTGTTGATCTCTTTGAGTACTATCTGCCCATCTCCAAACAAGACTCAAGGGCGAGTCCTCTTCAAGTGGAGGGGACTGATGTAGAGGCAGGCTATAGCACCTAATTATGAAGAAACATGTGAGAAATCTGGAAGGAACAAGAAATGAAGCATTCTCGTGCTTGAATTTAACTATTTTCTTGTTTTAATTTAGTTTTAATGATTTCCTAGGTTGCTTCTCAATCAATTAATATTTTCTAGTGGATTATTATTTTTAGGAAGAGTCTTACAGGGTATATATCTATTAGATAAACTTATTTTTGGGTTTTCCTTACTATTTTGGGACAGGGGTATTTTTGTAATTTCAGAGTTTTATTGGCTGCCGACCTAAACCGAACCCCTTATAAGAACATTAGTAGCTGCTGTTCAGGGGATAAAAAGGAGGACATTCAATTACTTCAAGCTTAAGAAAGCTGTTTTTTTTTTCTTCACTCTATTTTCTTCTTTCTTTTGAATTTCTCAAATGGTTTGGGTGATTTTTGCTGTAAAAATCACTAGTATTCGGGATGGGTCTTGCTTATATATTTTTCCTCCCTTTTCTTAACAAGTGATTTTTCTTGAATTTTCAACAACTATGCCATCTCAACATTGGAGTTCAAAATTTTGATAGCCTTGTATCGGGTGTATCATATCGTATCTTTTAGGTGTCAATTCACCTATTTAAAGGTGTTTTGAAGAAACTTTTTTAATAATTAAAACACAAAAATGGGCCCAAACACAAATTTTGAGAAAAAAAAGTGCAAGGTTCAAAGTCTTGATGCACCCCTTCCAGCATATCAGGGTGTATCGATATTTTGAACCTTGCTCAGCATAGGTGGCCAGCTATTAGCCACTGGTCTAAACTCACACTACTCTATTAACTTGTGCTGAGTTGCTCTCTTGTAACCCAGGGAGTTCGGCTTCAGTCAGGGCAAAGCCCATTCGAGCAGCCTTTACTGCCTTGCATTGAGAATATCTCCGTATTTGTATGCTTTATTTCATGAGGAGATATTCCCAAGACAACGTTGGGAAAGGCTGTTAGAACGGTGTGGGCATAGATTTGCCCTGATAGAAGCCGATCTCTAATCCAGGTTGGTCATTGGACATGGTCGGTTTTGTTCAGGATGGGTTTAACTGGGTCTGCTGGATTGCATGCCTATGCTTTTACAAAATGCATAATATAAAAGATGGTAGTTAAGGAACTCTGTTAAGGTATTTTCCAATTAGTGGTGTGCTGGTATGAAGTTGCCAAAAACAAAGGGTACATTAAATAATCAAAGCTGCTTTTTTTTCATTGGAAACTTTTTATTTGTTTGAAAAATAAAGACTAAACTAATATTACATATCATTCTTTTCTTGTATAATTGTGGTTTATATTAACTTCTTTAAGAGATTGCATCAACTAGAGAGGCCTAAATATATTGAAGGAGACTTGAAACTGGTTATTGGGTGGCTGCAAAAAGGAGACTAGTAACCTTTTGGAATTTGCTAATGAGAAAAGGGAGTTTGAATGGGTAACTAGGGGAATAGTGATTCAGCTTCAATGGGTGAAAAGAACTGCTAATTCCTTTGCAGATGCTCTGGCTAAGGAAGGGAACGATTATTTTGGGCGGTGTTGTATTTGTTTTCTGTTTTTTTTTTTTTTTTGGGTGAGGATTAAGAGATTTTATCTCTCCCCTTTGCTTCCCTGATAAATTCTTTTCCTCTAATTAACAAAAAGTTGCTGTTTATGATAAAAAAAAAAGATCGTAAGCCTTGTGGCCTCAATCATTTCTGATTGGTATCCCTCTCTTTGTTACTGCCAGGCCATAGATATAAGGGAAGACTTTAAACAAAGATTTATTACCACATTTGTTTTATTTCTCTTGATTGGATATTATCACATCTACTATCCTTCACAAAACAAAACTTGTTTCCTCTCCCCATAACATTGGTATATGTTTATTGAAATGAGATGAATGGCTAAGAAGAGAATGCAATATGGTTGATTTATAAGGTTCCAATTAGGGCCGATTCCAATCTGTACTCTGAACAACCATACTTGCAATTATCCTTTTTCAAGTATAATCTTTCTTGTATCTCCATGGCCATTTGTTTTTAAGTGCTTTGTTCATCAAATGGACAACCAATAAATAGGTCAGGTCCTCCTCTTTCGATGTGTAAACCTGCTTTAATTTACCAGATATAATTTCTTATTATCATTATGGGCCATTACTTGGTATAATGGTGAAAACTTGGGCTGGCAAGTGTGAGAATGTGGGTTTGAGTCTTAAAGTGGCCACTTTGTGTGAAAAATGTCAAAGGTTAGGACCATATCCAGTTTACCCCTCCCAAAACTCAAGATAGCCGGGACGAACATTGGGTAATTATCCTTTTGGCTTCTCATCATTAGGCCCATTTTATACTTTCTTTTCAGTAATAATGATGGCAACAACAACAATTCCTTGGGCTTTATATATAATGAAGCCTTTTTTTTATTGAGTTTTGCTTCTTGTTCAGTCATGGTTGATGTTTGATTCTGCAAATACGCAATATGCACAGACTTCGGGAGATTGATTCTGGGGAATCTTGCATTGTGTTTATCATCCCCAATAAACTCTAATTTTGGAAGACACTTTTCAGATATCCGGAACATCAACTGTGACAAAGAGAGCTCTCCATGAAGTTTCCACTCTTTTGCACCAGAATCCACGGAAAGACAATCCTCCTTCAAGTTATCCCATATCCTCTGGTGGCCCAGGTTTTTATCCTCCAGGTGGTCCCGTGGCACCCCAAGGGAATCCAATGTGGCATCACCAGGGTGCCCATGGTACACCATCAATGCCATGGGGTGGTGGATATGGAAACCAGTCTGGATTTATGCATGGTGGTTTTGGAAATTCTGAGGAAGCATCAGAGGAGTTTTCTATGAAAATTTTGTGCCCAGCTGATAAAATTGGTGGGATTATTGGCAAGGGTGGCAGTAATGTAAAACAGTTGCAGCAGGAGACAGGAGCTAACATTCAAGTTGATGACACAATGCCTGATGTAGATGAACGTGCAATTGTTGTCTCTGCTTTTGAGGTAACTCCACCCACCCTAAAACCCCCCTCCCAAAGGGTCAAAACACATATTTTTTTTCCATGGTTGTCAAGGCATCTAGGTGATTCTGGGTGACAGTGGGGCACCTAGTTGCCTAGGCAGGTACATAGGTGTTGCCTAGGCGATAGGGATTTTATAAAATAAAAAAACTAAAGTTTGGTTATTTCCTTGGTTTAGTATGCATATTAGTTGAAAAAATAGCAATTCTCTTTTTTAAGAGCATTCAATTTTCTCTTAAAACATAGTAAACCATTATATGTAAGAACAACAGTATTCTAAATATATTAATTTCAATTAAAAAAATACTAATATAATTAGTATTTAACCGAGCAATTTCATATCAAATTAGCAACTGGCCTCAAAAAAATATCAAATTAGCAACTAAAGGAGGCTATGATTTTTTATATGATAAAAATGTAAGATAGAGAACAAGTAACAGAAAAAGAAAAGGACAAGGGCAGAGAAACTGTTTTATTTAATGTTAGAGAAGAAGAGTAAAAAAAGAAACTCCTTTATACTTCTTTCTATTTCTCTTCTGAAAACTCTTAGATCTTTGAAATTTCAATAGTGAAAATTTAAAACAAAGTAGAATTGGCATATATAGTATATGATAAAATGTATTGACACACATATTACTATATTAGTAACATGTAAGAATATTGACAATATTACAATAAGTGTGCTTACCTTTGATCTTTGTTGTCTAGGCCTGTGCCTTATTGCTAAGGCTGTTCACGGGTTGGGTTGGGTCGGTTTACTGCGATTTTTCCAACCGACCCGACCCGGTCGGGTTACCTGACATAGAAACCGAAACCTACCTGGTCGGTTTGAGTCGGGTTGGGTCGGTTTCGGTTCTAAGTTCATCCCTGTGATAAAATCTTGCTAATTTTAAAAACAATCATAAATTGAACATCATTTCAGCCATCTCCTATGATAAAATTTAAATGAAAAGTTAATCACAAAAGTTGTTCATTAATCACTATTCAGTTATTGCCTAAGCAGGTACCTTGTTGCCAAGGCATTCAGGCAAGGTACCCAACCAAGTGTGCCTAGGCCTGCTTAGGCTATGCCTTGACAACTATGTTCTTTTCGCATCAATTGGAACACAATAGTTATTCTACTGGTGCTAATGGATTCAAATAATAATAAATTAGCTATTGTTCTAATTACAAATACACTGTCAATGGCTTTGCGTACTGGAATTCTTCTAGGCTCTATGGAATCCAAGATCTTCAACCATTGAGGCAATTCTTCAGCTTCAAAGCAAAACAAGTGAAATGTCTGAGAAAGGTATCATTACAACAAGATTACTTGTTCCATCAAGTAAGGTGGGTTGCCTCCTTGGACAGGGAGGTCATGTGATTACTGAGATGAGAAGACGAACACAAGCAGATATACGTGTTTACTCCAAGGATGGTAAGCCCAAGTGTGCATCTGCAGATGAAGAACTTGTCCAGGTGATGTGGTTAGCATCATACCTTCTATAACATCTTGTTTTCATACACTGAGGTTTAAGCTTGGTTTTCTCAATGTACTTGTCCCTTATTTCTAGACTTTTAGATTTGTAGTTCTCTTAAATGAGTTTTGCTTTTCAATCATACAGATATCTGGAAGTTTTGCCATCGCTAGAGATGCTCTATCAGAGATTGCATCAAGGCTTAGAGTCAGAAGTCTTCGAGGCTCAAATGCTGCCGCAGAACCTCCTCCAATAGTGCCTTTCCAGGGATTTGGTCCCTCAGGGAACTTCCCAGGAAGAGGTCCAACAGGTCCATCAGGCCCACCTGGTCCACCGGTTCCACCAGGTCCACCAGTTCCTCCACCATCTGGCATGATAGGATCTGGCAGTTCTAGTGGATATGAACACATGAAGGTATCTTGTTTGTCTGATTCTGCATACAGCTCTGCTTTGTACTTAGAATAAGAATAATCTGTCTGTTGATTACTGAAGAATCCAATGCTAGAGAGACTGGCTATTTTATGAAATTTACATGAAGCATATTAGTATACTACATATTGGTATCATTCACTTACGAGTCAAGTTAACCTGTTCTATTAATTGACTATTCAAAGATCTGCTAGATGATCTCCAAGGATGATTTTGCACAAAGTTTGACATCCTTTAAATTTTATTACAGGAAAGGTAGTATCTGAAACTTCAATTATGGTGTATACTTGATCTTCTTTTATTCATGTTCTACTCTCAGTTGTTAATGCATTTCAGACAAGAACTCTAAAGATTCCTTTTGCTCTGTGTGTGCCCGTGTGTGTGTGGAGTGAGACTCTTTTGACATGTTTTGTTGGATGCAAAAGCTGTGATTATGTCTTACCCAGTGATTGAAAAGGTGTGCCTAAGTGCAAATGTGGGGCGCATTTCAAGGTGTGTGCCTCACCTTGGCCTAGGTGCAGCCCCTTTGAAAAGGTGTGCCTGGTGCACCTTGTGCCTCAGCCAATTGTGTGCCTTTGCAAGCTAACCGCCCTTTTGCTAATGTTGTTCTATCATCATTCTTAATATACGATATTCTTCATCAAACAACATTTGATTCCTAGTCCTAAAAGATAAGGAACTACAACTAAAATTATAAAACCAATGTTTATGTACATGCAAAGATTTTAGGACCCTGCATCAACTTGTTTGGACTTGCCACATAGGTGGTTTGAAGAATTAAGAATGCAAGATGTTTAACATCACATTAGCTACTTGAAGTAATGCAATTGGGAGAGAAATAAACAGATTGAAAGTTTCACATGCCTGAATTGTTGAGTGTTTGAATCTGTTTTATATGTCATTGATTTTCATTATTTGTACATTCACTCTAAATATGTTTTATATTTTAAATTTATGTATTATTTTTATTTTTGATTTTTCTTGCATTTTTTTTAATTTTTTTAAAATTTTGTACCTTGCTCCAGAAAAGGCAAGTTACTCACCTTGTGCCTCAGGCCTCGGGGCACGAAGAGCCCCTTGTGTTTCACCTTGCACTTTTAATACACTGGTCTTGCCCCTAAAATTCAAATTTTTACTGGGGGTAGCTCATGGGAAAATTAATTTATGCGATGTGGTACAGGTGAAAAGAGATAGTGATGTTTGTCCCCCCACTTCTATGATTGTCTCTTCATCCTGTTGCTTGTTCCTTGCTAAGGGGAGTTAGTGGATCAACTATTTGTCTGTTGAAGTTCAGTTCTTTTTTTTTTTTATCAATAGCAAGTAACTTTATTGAAATTTAAGAAACTTCAAGTACAAGAACGTCGAGGTTACTGTCTTAACTCCCCCACAAGCAAATTACAAAAGAAAACAAAATTAGAAATGAGCCCAAAACAAAGAATCCCTATTCACCCCTTGCTTGGCTAACCTGTCAGCATGTGAGTTAGCAGTTCTCTTCACCCAACTGTATTTCATCTCAATGTCCCTAGCCAGCCATTTAAAAATTTTCCTTTCATTGCTGTAGTTCCACATACCAATGTTGGTCTGTAAACTGTAAAGTGGCTAACTCATGATCTCATGTCTGCTTGTTATTCTTTTTCTATGTGCTGAATCTTGGACTTATGCGCTCACACTTTTGTCCTTGTATTTGAATATAAGTTATTTTCTGTTCTTGATCATATGAAGAGACATTCTCCTGAGTTTCAATTGATAGTTTATTTTAAAAACTTAAATGTCCATACCTCATTTATATTTGTACTAGTAAGCTAGATCTTGTAGATATGTGAGCTTGTAAAATACCTACTGGGGTCTACAATTGTATACTGAAGCCACCATGTCATAAGGCTGACTGTAAGAGACAAATATTCAATTGCACAATGTTCTTTTTTTTGGAAATGGTAATTCAATTGCACACTGTTCACAGAGTTTTAGGCAGTTTTTCTCATCTAATGGTTGTAGATAGTAAAAAATAGTGGATACTGAGATGTTATCCGGGAGGCATACTAAGGAGTAATCCTTGAAATAATTAGAAAAAACAGTGGATAAAATCATAAAATAGCATAAATATAACATAACATTATTATATTAATCTGTTAATGTAATACATGATGGCTTTCCATATTTCCTGGGCTGTTCAATTTCTGTCCTATGCTACCATGCAGGTTATCTATGGGACCCATCTTATCCTTAGTAAACATTGTCAACATAAAAAAATACATTTCATGTTTATCATTCTGGATTTTAATAGCCAATTCAATCTTCAGCAAATGACCATATGGATTTAACTGTAATTTTTCTATATGGTTTTTGGCTGAAGCCATTTCTTTAAGACCTTTTGATATTCAAACAAACTAAAAGAAAAATCAAACAATGGGTTAAACCAGAAATTGTAAAGAGAATAGTCTATCTGGCAAAGATTCTACAAATCTAGAATACAACCAAACTAATCTTTCTTTTATGCTAGATTGGAGGGAATAGAAAACAAAGATGGAAATAGGGTATTTTGAGAAAAAGTGACTTAAAAAGATTAACAAATATACAACCACAAAAGAACTCATTCAGTCCTACTGGTTTCAGGTCTCTCTAGAGTGTGGAATCCATTGCAATAAGCATCATTTGATTTTATTGAGTATCAAGGAAGAATAGTGGAGAAATTGATTGGGGTTTAAGTGGCCTTAAATTGCATGAAGAGAATAGAAGAGAGAACTTGGCCTTTCATTCTTTTTTGTTTATTATCTATTTATTTCGTCTCGTTTTTTTTTTCTGTTGTAGCACATGAAGATGATGTTTCCATATTGAAAACAACAGGTTCAAATTTATTAATATATCTTATTTGTAGCAGCAAATATTTTAGAAGTTTTGGGCCTGTAGACTGTATTTCAAGAGTGTCTACCCTTCACCAATGCCCTCATTGGTCATGTGTTATGTATGGTTTGAGGCAATTATTTGCTTCATGTGTACCTCTAGTAGTGCTCAGCTGCTCACAGCATTGGTTGTGATCTAACAATGTGCACATTTGGAATCTTAGCTGTAATATGGAGTGGAAAGACTTGATGTGGAGCAGAGAAAGATGGGGGTGTAAGGCGACTTCTCTCTGGTGGTTTATTTTTGATAAGGGAATCAAGGAGATTTTCTCCTTTTCTTCAGGTGTTGAATATTACATATGCAGGGCATTTGTTATCTCAGACAGACAGTTGCTACTGAATGATATTTTACATATGAAAAAGCTTGGAAATCATAATTTTTAGCTGGTTTTTATACATGCTAATGGAAAACAAAAATTTATTTTGTTTTAGTTTTGTCTGGTATTTTACATTACAAGTTGTAAAGCAGTATTTCACATGTATACTAATTATAAGTTTGTTTATCTAAATGCTGCATTCTTATGGTTCAATCATGAACTGATTACTTTTTCTTCTTTATACAAAGATTAATGGATGACAACTAAAATACAATTGTACTATTTCGAAGGGTGTTGGAGGTGAATATGAAGCTCCAAGTTATCCATCTCAGCCTAATGCTACTGGGTACAGTAACTTTTCACTATTTTAGTCTCATTTAAATGGACATCATCTTTTCATATGGTAATGATTTAGATTGCCATGTTTTCACAGATACCAAAATGTTAACAACCCTATGGAGGTTAAGATTCCAAACAATGCAGTGGGTTCTGTTATTGGAACAGGTGGAAGCAACATTTCTAATATTCGTGAGGTAAATTTTCGATCCAATTCTTAGGATACTCGAAATGTAAGAAAGCTCTTCAAAATTGCCATTAATCTCTCTCCATATTGTATACTGTTTGACCTACTGGTTACCCTTTTTTATTACTGGTATCAACTGAACTACTAGAATTTTGTAGACGGAGTTGTGGCTAACAAAGATTGTTGATGGGCTGCTTTTTTCTTTTGTTTAAACCCAGATTTCTGGAGCAAGAGTAAAGCTGCAGGATCCTCAGGCGGGTGGTTCAGAATGCGTTGTTGAGATCCATGGGTCTTCTGAGCAAATGAACACGGCACAGAATCTCCTTCAGGCCTTCATAGCCTCGGCTGTACAAAACTACAATGCACAGCAAGCGTCCTATCAATAGTGTTATTCAGTTTTTCAGGGGAGTGCTTTTGTACCATAACGTAATCTTGTTATCTTGGCATTCCTTTGTGGGGTGCTAGCAGGCTAATTTGTGGACAAAATGGATTCCCATTAAATCGACAAACTATTTATTGCAGGGAAACCGGCAAACTTTGAAGATGATTTAGGTGTACTAAAAATTTTTAACCTTCGTTTTCTCACTCACATGGATTAAAACTAGTAGTGTCAGACTTTTCAGGAGGTACAGATTTTCTTCTTTTTTTAATTATTATTATTTTTTTTGTTTTTCATTGGAATCTTGTGGAAGTAAATTGAGTTGTTTACAATCACCTCACCTGGATGGTAGCTAGTGAGTAGTGGCCGTAAATATCTAAAATCTTAAATCACATCATAGCACGGATGTCGTCATGTCAATGCGATAAATTGTGGTCGAAGTCGAACTAAACTTTCATGCGGTGCGTGTCACATTCCCTGCCAGAGCTTTGTGGGTCTTTTTCTTTACGTGCCCGTGTCCTGCACACACGATTCATTGTTGATAAAAGGCTAATGGATCTAAATTTAATTAATTCCGTTTAACCATGGTGAACCGGAGTTTAATCCCTTTGGACTTAAATGCCTTGTACACTAAACAATGAAAATTTATCAAAATACACAAGTGGATTTGATTGGGTAAATTCTCAAATATCCGCAGGTTCTTATATTAAGATACTACAATGGTAGCGGTGCTCATAAAAAACTGAAAAATCAAAGTGAAACTAAATAAAAAATTCTGGTTAATCCAACCAGTTGGTTCAGTATTTTTTGTAAATTGAAGGTACTGATTTGGCTTTAGTTAACAAATGTAAAAAATCAGCTCCCCCCTTTCTCTCTCTGTGTTTCCATTTTGTTTATAATGTATATTATAAATAACAAAAAACTAAATATTTGAAGAACTGAAACAATCTCAACCAATCAATCGATTAATCATTGGTTTTGATTCACAGTATTCCAAAAAAAATGGTGGTACTGGTTCGATTTGGAAGATACCGAACCCTAAGCACCCCTGGTCATGGTTTTCAAAACCGGATCGGACTGGATAGTCAGATTGGAAAAACGGGAACCGGTCACCTGACCAATTCCATTTTTCTTTAAAACCGATCTTTTCTCCAAAACTGTTGATTTTGGTCAGCAAACCGCTGAACCGGCCGGTTAACTGTTTGAACTGTTCAAATGGTTTTGACTGTTTTTCAATTTTTTTTTAATTTTTGTCAGAACAGGCCGACCGTTCAGGTCGAACGGTCGAATCGTTTGAACCGGTAACCAGACCCCTGAGCGGTTCAGTCACCGGTTCGGTTTTAAAAACCATGCCCCTGATTGTCGCTCATTGAATTAATAATGCAAGCGTCCTTCTCACTGGCAAGTAATCAGGTTGAGCGTCAGCCTGAAAATAAATTTCAGTTTTATCATTTTATGTTTGGGCCTCATAGCAATATCTGCAGTCTGCACAGGTTACACATTAAAATTAGTCGCTGTGGCATGTACACGTGTCTTTTGATTTTTTTTTACACCCGTTGCTGATGCTTGATGTTAACAATCCAAGGCTTGGACCTAGCTTGGGTTTTGGGGCTTTGGAGATTCGAAAAGGAACGTTGATTTGTAATGGTATGATAAAAAACCTGGACTTGTCAAGCTCTGTTTCTAATTTGATGTAAAAAATAGCGACATCTCATGCTAGAGCCACTATAAACGAATCAAATCATGAATGATGCGGCCGTGTTGTGAGTTGTGACAATTTATTCTCTATCCACCACAGAAATGTTGCTCGATGAAACTTGAGGCCCGGAGTAATAACATTAACATGCATCTCAGTTTCAGTTCCTATGAATGGGGCACAGTTTCTAATAGGCAAGATGGAACATTTTAGGCCGCATCATTCATGGGCATTATTAATTTCGCAAAAGAAAACTAAAATTTTGTTCCAGGGAGTAAGAAAGAGAGAGAGGGGAATTAGATTTTACTGCCATTGTGGGCCTATGTGGTTATGGTTATTGTGCGTCCTGATATAAGGGGCCCTTTGATACGATACCAGCCAAATGTCTGAATTGGATATTTTTTGCTTGTTTTTTATGGATACCGGATAGGTCTCAACTATTATGACTTACGAGTTCCTTAATGGCTGAATGGAATGTGTTGGGTTGATTTACACTAAAAGTTCTATTATAGAATTTTTATATTGTATTCACTAAAGGCCAGAATAATAAGCTCTTCCTTCAGACTTGAGTTCAGCCACAGCCACTTCAGAAACGGCCCCTGAGACACATTGGTCCCCCATCTCCAACAGCTAAGGATGATTCAACCGTCCACGTGTAAAGCACCTAAGCGGCCAACACAGTCTCATTTTCTCCTCATGTATTCTATTCAGCTGAATTGGTTCATTAATTTCAAGGGGTGACGCCGGGGGCCGACAACGCCATAAAGGTACGTGGTATGGGTATCGGTGGTGTGGCCACTGGCACTGCCCACTGCTCTAACCAATTACCCAGTAACCACCAAAGCCAAGAGCCAAGTAATGGAAGGCGAAAAAAAGGAAATACCTGAATTCAACCGATGGTCAGTAGTATGTCCTACATCTTGCGGTAGCTCCGAAACAAAGATGTGGGGCCAGGGTTCACCATGTGAAGCCACGCTTGCATGTTAGCCACATGTCAGTATTTGAATTTCGTACATAACATAACCACTACCTTTTTGCAAATTTGGGTCCTTTTGTGTGCAAGTTCTTGTGGCGTAAACCCTGAGGTCCGTCCTATGTTAATAACTATCCAACGCCTTAACCCTGTAGGCCACAGCCTCTCTCTCTCTCTCCCTCATGGAACTGGGATTCCTGTGTTCAGATCTGCGCCCCACAGTGTCCACAGCACATCTCTGCCGTGTATTAGAAACATCTCCCGATGATGACATCATCGAGATGTTCTCAATGCACGGTGGGGATGTGCTGTGGGGCGCCCCTTGTGGGGCGCAGGTGTGAATTCGAGATTCCTAATCCTAAGTAGAGTTTGCAGGAGCTAGAATCCCTACAATACATGGATTTGTGCAGAGTCCTGGGTTGATATGGAATTCCTCCAAATTAAAGAAACTGATGAAAGGGGGAGATACCCTTTAACATAGTGGATGGAGAAGCAAATTTATAATAAGGATGCTACCAAATTCATCTACAATTTCACAAGATACCCTTGAGGCAAGGGTGCTTATAAGTTTAACAACCTCTCTAGTCTCTACTCATTTGCTGAAATGCACTCAATAAGTTTGTTTCCTCTAATTACACAACTTCACCACCCTTTTGGAAATATTAGAAGCTTGTCACTTGTTCAGATTGAAAGAGAGAGAAGAGAACTAAAATTATTAACTTTTAAAATTTTTATTAAAAACGGCAGTGCATAGGCTAGTGAAGAAAAAACACTTGAAAGCCCATCCATGATCCAACTAATTAACTCATCATTTACGATTTCTTTCCCTCATCAGTTGCAAAGAAAAAAAAACACAGGCAGCCAGGAGCAGCCTAGGATATGATTGATGACAGTCACTGCGTGGTCAGAACTCGATCGGAACACAGAATTCAGAAGGGAAAAGGAGCTGCTACTCCCATCAATGACGTCCTCTTAACGAACCGGCCCTTCATTCGGGGTCTCTTCTCCGCATTCAGCTTCCGAACTTCGTATCGTATCTTCTTGGAGAACAACCGTGTTCTCCTCTTCTCTCTGTATCTAGACACCCTCGCTTCTCTTCCTCCATTGCCCATAGTTACGTGTCCCCCAACACCTCCCATCTCTCCATATGGATGATGATGATAAACCTCCATCGGGTACGTACCCTGATGAACATCAAATTACATGTCAATCTTATACATAATTCAACTTATTATTTCACAGTTCATGTCGTTACAGAGATGCCTAGCTAGGGTGCATTAAGGATGATAGACCAACCTCAGTCTCAGACTCTCAGTGACCCGGTTTTGTCAATCGATCTACACTTCTTTCATTTGAAGACGTAGATCGATGAATGACAACACTACATGTCACTGGGTGTGACCAAAAAACGGTGGGACCAGTTAAGAGCCTCACCATGCAGTCGGGCCAACAGTCGTCGTCCGGGTTGAATTGTGGCCGTTCGCCGGTCGTCCATGGAGAGCCTTTGCTGGCCCAAGCACAGATCACCCCCTCATAGTTGAGCCTGAGCCTCAACGATATCTTGCTCGACATCTTGTCACCTTTATATCCGCTGTTCATATTGGTCACCACATTTGAATTCGCTGCTTCCTTCACCGCCTTCTCTTCTACTTCTTCTTCCTCTGCAGTAGTCGGTGAATCAGAGTTGAAGTTCAAGTCCAGCGATTCTCTGGTCATGCCCAACCCTGGTTCCACCTGCTGGCAGCCCACGACAGCTTCCACTTCCTCTACTTCAACCTTCACCCTTCCACTCCTAAAGCAGTGCTCCATATTTTCTTCCTCCTTACAGTCCAACAGCCCCAAATCCTCCATGCCAAACGAGTCATCGTCGAGCCCTCTCCCAAGCAAGGTCTCGACGTCGGCCGCAAACTCTGCAATATCCATATCAGAAAGAAGAAACACAGGTAGCTTATCCGTCTCTCCAGTCAGATCGTTATCAAAATCATGGCCGTCTGGAAGGAGGGCCTTCCTTTCACTACCCATATCTTCTGCAGTTGTCGCATCGTTTGTAGTCATCGCTGGTTCGTTGAACGTGGCCGGCGTGCATAATTCTGCGACAAAGGGATCGAATATGGGAACCCGATAGAGAAGTTGTTCTTCATTGTCGTCGGGTGAAGATTCTTCGCCGCCCATCTCTGGCACAAGAGGAAGCGGGTTAAGCAGAATTGGCTCTTCAACCTTAGGTGGTTGCAGTGCAGCTGGCTTTACATGTCGAGGGGTTCTGGCCTTGCGGGTGAACCCTTGGTGCCACGCAGGGGCCGAATTCTCAACCAAGAAACCATCGTTAAGCATAGGCTTGATAGATGCAGTCTTCAGTCGAACCCTTTCATGTCGTCGTGCTAAAGGGTTGGCTGAGTGGACTGAAGAATCACATCCTTGACAAAGGAAAGCATCGTCAGCAGCGCAATACCAGCGCGCACGTTTACGCAAACAACTATCGCAGGCTCTGGCCGTCTTACCACCTACGGCGTTGGCCGCTTTCTTGTCTGAGCTCATTGAGGAAAAGGGCTCAGAATTCAGATTCAGATCGATGGAAGAGCAAGAAGCAGAAACCAGGTGCCAGACTAGACGAAAACAAACCAAACCATAACAGGAAAAACGCAGTCGCCTCTTATTTAGAGACGAGCTGGTTACAATAATTTTATCAGTGGATGGCCCACGTACAGGAGCGCGCTTTTGCTTTCGCACAAGACTTGTGGACTCGGTCCATGCACTTTTGGGGTGTACTCGTTCTCGTTTCAGCACACAGAGAGAGAGTTGCGCTTTTGGGCCCACCGTCCTGCCTTATCTCGTCCTCCATTGGTTGAGTTTATAACGTCCATCCTATTCTCTGCATTCTTATTGGCTACCATGCTAATTAAGTGGATTTCTTGTGGTCCCTACTGAGTTTGAGAATTGAGGATTGAAAAAGGGTCATCATCATCATCATCTCTCTCTCTCTCTCTGTCGGCCTCCCACCATCTCTCTCACGCTAAAATTGAATAGGACCTTCGGTGGATTTGTCTCTTCGTTTCAATTGTTCCGGTTTAAAGATTAAACTCTTGTTTGTGGTCCCCTTTTTCCTCTCTCTCTCTCTCTCTCTGATGTGTGTGTGAATTCGACGTGTTTCCTCTTTTTTGTCTCGTTGGTTTACTTCTATGGTTCTACCCATCTGTAAATATAAGAGTTGTGATGGGGCGGGTTAATCTTGGGATGATATCAGCTAGAGATTATATATATAGTATAACATTGGAAAAAACTATGCTTCCGGAAAGATATGATACCGGAAGGGGGATTTGATCGACCAATCAAACCCCCTCCGAATTTGATAAATCACCACCCGATTACCGGTTGATTGGTTATCATAGTCAAACACCCATGTAATATTATTATATATGTAATTTGGTTTTTGGTTTGGTCCAATTTAGTTTTCGGTTCAGTAACCAAACTGGACACTCTTTGTTGACAAGAAGAATATTTGATCAACAAAAGCTAGATTGCCCATATTTATTAAAAATTTAAAATGAAAGGCCCATTATTCAAACATGACAACAGCTTGAACCCGACCCACACTTCTTATGTGTTTTGCCTGAACATTTATGCAAAGATACTTGTTGGATTTTCGGGTCTAGAACTTTTACATCTTTGTGTTAGTGTTCTAGTTCTACTCCATCCATCCCAAAATGACCGCAACACACACAGTCCATGCTCCATGATAGTAGTAGTATTTTCTGTTCCTTTCAACAGTCAGGAAATTTGGGGAAAATGTCTAAATCAATGTCTTCTTCCGAAATTAAAAGGAAGAGAAATAAATGTTTTTGGATCATTTGGAGTAAAATGGACACCAGCTTCAATTTGACAATTAAAACAAGGATAAGGATTGTGCTTCTCCTCATCTTAATTTCCACTCTCTCTAAATGGAATTTCGTACCAAATCAATCCAAAATCTTAATAACAAGTTTTTCTAATTAATGTCTTCACATGATGTGATGATTAGGATGCTCTTAACTTTTCTTGGGGCTGATCGGACGTTCGGATTTTATTATCCATGTCACTTGTTGCAATCTTATTGAGTCATCTGTCTGTATATTTCTATCTCTTGACTTGGGTATTTCTTATACTCTACTGTAGGCCCAGCAGAGTGTAGGTTAGTGACGCTGATAGAAGACGACCCCCTTTGAGGTGCAAAGTACTGGTGAGGAGATAAGAACTGGTAAGGTTTAGGTTATTGATGTGTAATACTAATATCAAGTTGGGTAAGGATATACTATACAAACACGGGTACCCTACCCGATTTAAAGAATTTCAACTGCCAATTGTGAGTTGTGACTGGCAATTGGGCCGAGACCCAGGCCTTCGAAATTTAACGAGAGATTCAACACTGGCCCACCAGTCCCACTCAGTGGTCCCGCCATGCTGGACAAATACTTGTAGCTTTCTTTCATTCAGAATAAGCCACGTACACGGGGGGATGCATGTTCTCCAACTTTGTTGCAGGTTGCAAATTGCAATGTATGTATGTTAGTAATGGCAGAGCCCATTTCACAGGTGGCAATGTGGCATATCCTGGTCACGAGTAAAAATGGTAATTTTGTCCGTCACTACAGGGTTAATGGAGATAATGACGACAGTGCACTTGGTAGTAAAAGGAACCGACTACCGAAATAACAGCAATGCTAACAAGATTTATCTTAATTTTTAGGTTGTGTTTGGTACGATTGCTATTCTAGATTCAAACGTGATACAATTGTATTTTTACAATAAAAACTTGTTTGGGTAGTGATGAAGGAAGATTTGGCCCGATCTCGCAAGTCACGGCACGTGGCAAAAATGGCAAGCAGCTCGGCACTCAAGACAGCATACCGAGGGTACAAACGCCAAAGGGAAGGGACCAGCAGGTCCGAAGTCCTTATTTAGAGCCCGAACTCCCTAATATGGAACCCAAACTCCCTGCAAGGTGCCCAAGCTCCCTACTTAGTGCCCGAACTCCCTGCAAGGTGCCCGAGCTCCCTACTTAGTGCCCGAACTCCCTGCAAGGTGCCCGAGCTCCCTACTTAGTGATCGAACTCCCTATAGGGTGCCCGAACTCCCTACTTAGTGGTCGAGCTCCCTGCGAGGAGCCCGAACTCTCCCTTTGACCCCGAGTCACACAAAGCAGAGACCCGAACTGACCCGTCCTATGACAGTTCGGGGCCCCCCTTATCCGAACTCAAGACTTCACGCACCGCTCCAGGCACTTCGCTTTCGGAGCATTGAACTGGACGAACCGCGCCGTACCTGACACCGAAGGAGTCCGTATCCAGGGGCGGCGC